TAAAATTTTGGTGTTTTAATTTATGTTTTATGTACAATCAGCTATAATGCTAACAATCAGAAAAAAATTCTGAATTCGTTTTAGACAGCCGGATGAATTTAAAACTAAGCTAAGTAAATAAAATGGAAAATTACTAACAGCTTTATTAATAGTTATTTTTATGTAAGAAGTATATAAATAAAATTTAAAATATAAATACATTGATTGATTCGAATTTGGCATACGAATGTATATAAGAGCTTTTCAAGTAATTGCTTGAAGCTATAGATTGAAAAGTGGATTAAAATATGAGAACAGGTTAATGGGAATAACATGCCTAAAATTGGAATACCGGTTTTAGTACTATATATCAAAATTTGGGATTTGTTCTTTGGCACAAATGAAGATATTTAATCCATAAGAAAAGTTATCATATTATTATATATATGTGTGTGTGCTGTTTTTCGTGTATGCGGAATAGAAGCGAAGAATTATTGAAATATAAGTTGTTAGAAGGCTTTAGAAGGTCCGAGTAGAGCTTTCTCGTTTCTTAAAGATAGAATATACACACACTCCTAAGAATTTCGTATTGATTACGGAAAGACAGACAAGCAAATAGTGACACAGAGAGCGAGATAGAGAGAAAGACAGAGAGAAAGAGAGAGAGAGAGAGATAGAGAGAAAGTGTGTGTGTGCGAAGCACAAAAGTAGCTGACAATTTGCGGAAAAGGCCGATTTATGGCTGCTATAAGGAATATTTATCGCTCACCGCAAATTCGAAATTAATGATGACCGAACCAAGTCGATTATACGAAGTGTGTTTTGGCGCCGTTTAAACGGAATATAATAAAAGTGGAATTTTATAATGCAATAACTAAACTCGAATCTGAGCAACAAATATAGTATATAAATGTATTTATATAAATGCCAGCGATTTTAATGGCATCATTAAAAATGACCGAAAACAGCGTATCTTAACCCATGACGGCATCAAAGATACTTAACGACTTCTCGCCTTCGTATCGACGCTTTGTACCAAATCATATATATAATTTTGTTCACTATCTATTCTATTTCTAAATGTGTGTGTGTTGAAAACCGGTTCACAGCACGAAACCCAGCCTGACGGTTTAAAATTAAAAACTGACGCGCACTCAATTAAGTTTATTGCATTGCAAATCATGTCCGTAGCCCATTTTTATGACATCCAATGCCAAATAGTGTGGCGCGCGAGGTGTCAAGATGATTTGTCAATTTGCGGCACGCCCCATGAACCAACGTCCCATGCCCCATGCCTCATGCACCATGCCCCATGTCCCATCAATTGCAAACAGTTAGAATGCATCTGTAAGTGCGATGCTTTGTTTTGTTTCGCTTTTCGTTTTTCGTTTTTCGTATCTTCGGCAAC